CTCAGGCAATCCACTCACCTCAACCTCCCAAAGGCACGGGATTACAGGCTGAGCCATCGAACCCGGCGGGAGGCACTTTTTTTGGTAGCGCTATTGTTTGCTCAAGGTCAGCTCTGGAAGTAATACTAGGTGCATGCCCTGGTCTTGTAGCAAAGGAGACATTTCCTGTGGAAAGGGGGTTGCAGCTCCTGTATCTCAGTGGCCCTCACCTGCCCCACAACTCCAGAATCAAAGATTGCACAATTAAAGACCAACAAAAGTAGACATTTGGAGGGCAAGGGAAGGTGGACCAAATGGCTCTAGAAAAAGGAGAATTTGGCATCTTCAGAAAATCTTAAGAAAGGGTAAGGAGGGATGCCCATACACCGTGAGCTACAGAGGAGGGCTTGTCTAGAGAGAGCTACTGAACCTCTCAATAGTAATGATACAGTATTTTGGGGCAAGCCCTCTACAACAGCTTCCAGCTTAGAATGGTGTGAACGCAATATGCATTTAGCAGAAAACATGCTTTGAGTACACAACCATTCTGTTTTTTACTTTCAGTACAGCATTTAATAAATTACATAAGCCATTCAGTACATTATTATAAAATAGGCTTTCTATTGGATGATCTTGCCAAACTGTAGACTAAAGTAACTGTTCTGAGCATGTTTAAAGTAAGCTAGGCCAACCCTAACCCTAACCCTAACCCTGATCCAACCCTAACCCTGATCCCTGACCCTGATCCTGACCCTAACCCTGACCCTGACCCTAACCCTAACCTTGACCCTAACTCGAACCCTGACCCCAATGTTCAATAGCTTAGGTGTGTTAAATGCATCTTCAACTTGCAATGGGTTTATCAGGATGCACTCCATTGTAAATCCAAGAGCCTCTGTACTAGGTCTTTTATATACAATTCCTCATTTCATCATCACACCTACTTTTTGCAGTACATTTGGTTATTATCCCCACTTTATAGATGAGGAAACTGAGGTTTATAGAATTTAGGTAGTGTATTCATTTTTGAATTTAGGTAGTATAACAAATTAGCAGCTTAAATCAAATTCATTATCTTATATTCTATATGTCACTGGGTTAAAAATCTGGATGTGTTCCTTTCTGGAGGCTTTGGGGATGAATCTGTTTCCTTGCCTTTTTCAGCCTCTAGGGGCTGCATTTCTTAGCTCATGGCACCTTCCTCTGTCTTCAAAGCCAGCAATGTTGAGTTGAATCTTCTCACACCGTATCATTCTGCCCTCCTCTTCTGCCTCCCTCTTCCACTTTTAAGGACTTTTGTGATTACGCCCATTCAAGATAACCCAGGATAATATATCTTAAGGTCAGTTGATTAGCAATGTAATTCTACCTGCAACTCTAACTTCCCATTACCCTACAAGGTAACATATTCACAGGTTCCAGGGATTAGGACGTGGACATCTTTGGGGAGGTCATTACTCTGCTTACTACAGGCAGCTTGTTCAAGTTCACATAGTTAGTGGGTGGAGAAGCTGGGGTTTGAACCTAGGAAGCACTTCAGGCCCCCAACCTAGAGCACTTCTGTCCTAAACCTGATATCCTTCTGCTTTGAATTAAATGGCCTAAAAGGGCTGAGGATGTGTCTCATCGGGACTTCATGGCACCACTTACCTAGAGGGTATGTCAGCTGAGTGCCAGACACCTTCCATGGGCTCTGACATTAAATACAGGGACTTGCTCAGGGTACCTGGAGCAGTGATGGACAAAAATGCTCCCTCAATCCACCTCCCACCTGCTTCTCAGGGTGTTTTACAGGGAATAGGAGCTGAATATGAAATAAACTCCAAAACCCCGGGGTTTATTTATTAAAAATTGTGTATTTATTCTTACAAGTTTAAGCTTCAGTCACCTTCAACATACTCTTCATTTGATGCAATACACCTATCGAGATGCTTTTTCTACTGCTCAAAACAATTTTTCAACTCATCAATTTTGATGCCTTTTAGTGCCTCTGCTGTTTTTTGTTTTGCCTCTGCTTCATTGGCAAAATGTTTCCCTTCGGGGACATTTTTCACCCAAGGAAACAAAAAAATTGTCACTCAGGGTGAGATCAGGGGAATAGGGAGGGTGGGGCATGGAGGTTGTGCTGTTTTTGGTCAGAAACTGAACACAGCGGTGTGGGCAGGTTGTTCATTTAAATCGCTCCTCAGGAAATGGGTAAACGCGTTGAAAGAATCTCTAAAACGAAATTCACTGAAGTCAAATGCAGTCTCTCACAACAACACTGGCTGGTACTCTGAGGCTGATGGTTCCTAGAACATTTATAGCAAGGAAAGCCTAGTATTACAAGGGGCCCACCCTTTAAGAACCAATTCTGGGCCAGGTTCGGTGGCTCAGTCTGTAATTCCAGCACTGTGGGAGGCTGAGGCGAGTGGATTGCCTGAGCTCTTGAGTTCGAGACCCACCCGGGCAACTTGGCGAGACCTCATCTCTACAATAAAAAAAACCAAAATCAGCTGGGCGTGGTGGCATGCGCCTGGAGTTCTGGCACTCTGGTCTGGGCGACGGAGTGAGACTCCAACTAAAAAAAAAAAAAAAAAAAAAAAAAAAAGGACTAATTCTGGTTTTTTTTGGCGGGGGGAGGGTCCCCTCTCATATGTGCATGTGGGAGAGTGCAAGGGAATGAGACTGACAGGTCCCAAAAGAAAGGAGGAAGGAAGCAGAATTAAAAATAAATCAGACCCAGGGAGAGAAAGAAGAGCTTCCTTGAGGTTCTAAGGACCCTGCAAATGTATCAGGGGCAGAAACTCACTCGCAGAGGGGATTCTTCATCAGGAAGCCTGGTTCTCAACCTCCTGCCCTTGACACATAAGATGCATGTGCTTACCAGGACCACACTCTCCCAAGACCCACAGGTGAAGGGGCTAAGGCACTACAGTGCACAGTGAACTCATTGCGACTTCACCCCTGCCCCAAAGCTTCTCTGAAAGTAGATGAGTGACAGCAATCTTGACTGTGCAGAAGGCAGTACTTCAAAATTCAGGCTTGGTAGCCCGGCTCGGTGGCTCAGCCTGTAATCCCGCGCCTTTGGGAGGCTGAGGTGAGTGGATTGCCTGAGCCC